TGGGATATTGGGACAATTCCTTGATGGAAAGGGCTGTCCAGCCCTGGCACAGCTGCCCAGGGAGGTGGTGGATTCTCCACTCCTGGTGGGATTTAAAAGCCCTGTGGATGTGACACATGGGGACACAGGTCAGTGGTGGCCTGGGCAGTGCTGGGGCATGGCTGGACTCGATGGTCTCAGAGGGCTTTTCCAACCTCAGTGATTCCTGGAGAAGGGCAGGACCAGGAGCCAGGATGCCCTTGCTCAGCCAGAACCCACGAGATGTCCCGAGCACAGTGACAGGTTTTACACCACAAGTTCCAGTGACCCCAGAGGGTTCACTCAGGGACATTTTCTTATCCATCTCCTGCTGGATTACAGGGCAAAGGCTCACAGGGAATATTTCAGCTTTACCAGCCCCCCTGAACTGGTGGAACACGCTGCAGGGCAGCTCAGCCCTCCAGCCCTGCCCTTCTGCAAGGGGCACGAGCTGAAAGCACGGGTGTTAAGCAACACTTGTGGAGAAAGGGCTCAGAGTTATCTGGGGTTCAGCTCCAGAGTCCTTTACCAGGAGAGATGATTATTATAATTATTATAGTGCAGCTGCATTCACTGAACTCTCCTTCCAGCTTGTTGCACTTCCCACCCAGCACCTGATGAGCCAGAAGATAAATAGAACAGGTGTAATCAGATATAAGAGGCTTTTTTACAATGAGGGTGGTAAAACACTGGCACAGGTTGTCAAGAGAACGTGTGGTTGCCCCATCCCTGGAATTGTTCAAGGCCAGGTTGGACAGGGCCTGGAGCAACCTGGGTGAGTGGAAGGCAGTGGCAGCAATACAGGGGACCTGTCTCGTGCCAGCTGTCATCACAAAAAGCTCCCTGCAGAGAATTCCTTAACGAGGGATGGACACCCCAACACCCCAGAGGGTCCATCACCATCAGTCTCAACGCCCACTGCCCAGGCACCAGGGTATGGGGGGGCACCTCCCCGGGAACCTTTGCTCCAGGCACAGCCAATTAACGAGCCAATTAACCCCGCTGTGGTTTTGGCACCTGTCCCAATAGCGCCAAAGGGCACCCCAAACCTCCAGCCTTGAACTCACCCACACCGGTGCCACGCAGGAAACTGCCCGAAGCCACACTTCAGGTGGCCAAAACATGCACTGAGAACCAGGGAGAGAGGAAAGACAAGGCAGTGCCCACCCTTCAAACCTCTGTTTTCCCAGAGAGTCCACCTCCAAGGGGAAAATTCCACGACCGACAAGGCTCTGGAGGCGAGCAGAGCCAGCTCCTCCCTCGCACCCCGTGCTGGGTGGGCACACCCTGGCAGCTCCCGGGGGCTGGTTGGGCACTCACCACCTGGCTGATGTCATATCCCCAGGGCAGGAACAGAATGCCCGTGTTGTACTTCTCCCAGTGGGAGAGGATGAAGGAGAACAAGACCACCCAGAGCAGGAGGTAGAGCACGAAGACGCTGACGCCGGTGGAGCCGCGGCCGAAGGTGGAGTAGACGGTCACCACGAAGTACACGCAGGCCCAGCTGTCCAGCCCGTGGTCGAAGAGCTCCCCCAGGGGGGTGCTGGAGTTGGTCCGGCGCGCCTGCTTCCCGTCCACTCCATCTGGGAGGAGCAGAAGGAAGGGGCAGTTCTCCTGGACAACCCACACACAAAGCACGGGGGACGGAGGCTGCCACCGCTCCCACCCTCTGGCAGGGAGTGGGGAGTGGGATTCCTACCCACCCTGATCCACGGGAGGCTGGAAACGCAACAGGCTGACAAGGTTACGTTTAGTGCCTTGTATTTCCTCTGTATTCCTTAAAGCAGCCCCTTCCAGAGCCTAAAGGGGCTCCAGGAGAGCTGGAGAGGGACTGGGGACAAGGCCTGGAGGGACAGGACCCAGGGAATGGCTTCCCACTGCCAGAGGGCAGGGAGAGATGGGAGACTGGGAAGGAATTCCTGGCTGGGAGGGCAGGGAGGCCCCGGCCCAGGTTGGGCAGAGAAGCTGTGGCTGCCCCTGGATCCCTGGAAGTGTCCCAGGCCAGGTTGGACGGGGCTTGGAGCAACCTGGGCTAGTGGGAGGTGTCCCTGCCCATGGCAGGAGGTGGCACTGGATGAGCTTTAAGTTCCCTCCCAACCCAAACCATTCTGTGATTCCTGACTATTTAAAGCAGACCCAAGACAGGATTTCACAATTTATCTCAAATTTGTCTCGGTTCCAGTTTCCTCCTTTCCTCATCTGCTGCTCTGGGACAACTTCCTTCTCTCCACTTTGCAAAGCAGCTCCCAGAAGCTGCTCCAGCAGACCCAGGAGCAGCTGGATCAGTGCCTGGCGGGAGACAGAATCCAACATTTCCCAGGGGGCTCAGAGACCGGGTGACACGCAGCCACAGCACGACCAGGTGAGCACAGCCCAGCAGGAACACTCTTACCTAACGTGTAGGCCATGAAGTTGAGGAGCCCCACAACGATCCACACTCCGTTGGGAACGTGCTGGTGGTCAGGAGCTGCAGGGATCAGACAGAGCCGAGTCAGGACAGCTCAGGACGAGCTCCCAGGGGGGTTTGTTTTGGCCCAGGAGGCCAAAGCACCTGCACAACTCAGTGAGACCGGGATGTGAACTTTTCGGGATGTGACGGCGGAGCTGCTCCACAACAGCTCATGAAACCAGGACACTGAGGAATTTTCCTTCCAGGATTTAACTTCTCCTCTGTCTCCAGATCCCCAAAAACCACAGGATCTAAGAACTGGGGCCAGATCTGTATCCCCACTGCAGTGCCACAGAGTTGTGTGCAGGGGACTCTCCTTGATCCCTCGCTCAGAGCATCAGGTGGAGCCTCTCCGGGATGTGGCAATTCCCGGTCTCCGTGCCAGGATTCCCTGCTCAGTCTCCAGTCCCATCCCTCCAATGGAAAAGGAGCTGCTCCTTCATGGCACCCCCACCTCCCACAGCATGGCCCTGGCAGGGAGCCAGCATGGCCAGGGAGCCAGAGGGGTGCTGGAAAACAGCGGGAGGGCACGGGGAGGTCTCCTGAAGGAGCAGTGATTCCTTGGAATGCCACCCCCAGTAAACAGCGGGAGGGCACGGGGAGGTCTCCTGAAGGAACAGTGATTCCATGGAATGCCACTCCCTGTTTCCTCAGGGCAGCAGGATGGTGCCTTCCCAGCAGCAGAGGGTCACGCCCACAAAGCCATCCCAGGAGGAGGGAAGGCACAAGGCTCTGGAGGCTCCATCAGCACAAGGAAAGGTTCTTTTTCCAAGAGGGACATGCAAAACATGGATGAAAAAGGGTCCCAAAGCAAGAGCGTCACCACCCCTCCAAAGGCAACTTTTGAGAGGCTGGGAGAGCTGGGGGGTCACCTGGAGAAGGGAAGGATCCAGGGAGACCTGAGAGATCCTTCCAGAGCCTAAAGAGGCTCCAGGAGAGCTGGAGAGGGACTGGGGACAAGGGATGGAGGGACAGAACAAGGGGAATTGGCTTCCTGCTGCCAGAGGGCAGGGAGAGATGGGACATTGGGAAGGAATTCCTGGCTGTGAGGTGGGGAGGGGCTGGCACAAGTTCCCAAGAGAAGCTGTGGCTGCCCCTGGATCCCTGGAAGTGTCCAAGGCCAGGTTGGACGTGGCTTGGGGCAACCTGGGCTAGTGGAGGGTGTCCCTGCCCATGGCAGGGGGTGGGACTGGAGGGTCTTGAAGGTCCCTTCCAAGCCAAACCATTCTATAATTCCATGATTCTGGATGTCTGATGTCGTGGGGAGAATCAGCTTTTCCTCCATGGCCCAAGGACCAAACACGACCCAAATCTTGGCAAACAGCCCCCGATGCCACCCGAGCTCTCGACAGCCTGGACTCGCCCACCCACCAACAAAGGCAATCCCCAGAAACCAGGATCTTCCCACTTAACTGTGTTTTGATGAGGGGCCCAGCTTTAGAAGAACAAGAATGAACTCTCCAAAGCAACCCAACCCAACCCTGGCAGGGGCAGAGGGAGAGAAAACACACAGAGGGATCCACGGAGAGTTATCCCGCTGTAACTCTTTCCCTGGGATTCTGCCACGAGGGAAGGGACAACCGAGCCTTTGGAATCACAGGCAGTGTTGGAAAGCTCAAAGCTGTGAACAGGGAGGCTGAGGAGGAGGATTTGGCCTGGTTGGTCTGCAGGGGTGGAGTGTTTTGCAAGAGGGCAGCGAGCAGGGATGTGAGGAATGAGGCTGCCGGTTCCAGGGAAGCAGCGCTTCCCACGTCACCCTGTGATTTGAAAACAAGGGCACTGGGTTGTTGTCTGCTCCGTAGAAAGAGCCAATTCCTGCCCAAGATTCCAGCTGTTTGCTCCTCCCTCTGTAGGATGAGCCAATTCCTGCCCAAGATTCCAGCTGTTTGCTCCTCCCTCTCCCACCTGACGCCAGGAGCTCACTCCTCTGGCAGCTGGAGGGAAGGTGTTGTACCCAGACAAGTCCTGCTCAAGAAGCCCAGTGGGTTCAACCCCCTGCTCTGTCCCATCACTTGGGAAGGCCCAGACCCAGGGGCCTCCCCCACACGCTCTGGAATTCCCAGCACATCCAGTGGCAGATCCACATCCCCCCGGGAACGCGCGGCCTTACCGGAGGCGTAGAAGTCCGGGTCGAAGTACGCCATGAGGAAGAAGTTGAAGACAAGGAGCAGGAAGCCAGAGAAGGTGATCAAGTTTGGGGCCAGCCAGGTGGGGAAGATCTGTGGGGAAGCAGCAAAAGAACAGAGGAACTCCTTAAACCACGGGCGAGGCAGCACGTGCTGCGGGGACACCGTCCGGAGCATCCCGAGCATCCCGAGCAGCAGGATGGGATGCAGGGACTCAGGGCAGGCTGCAGGCAGCCCCTGGGGGCTCGGGGCACCCCAAAGGAGGCAGCTGAGGGTGTCCCAGAGGCGGCTGGCGGGGCTCACCTTGACGATGGTGTTCCAGAAGGGATGCATCACGTACAGGGACAGGGGGTTGCTGTCCACGGCGCTGTACTGGGAACCACAGAGGAAACAAAGCCACAGGTCAGGGCTCAGAAACACACGGGGAAAGCCAGAGATCCGGAATCACAGGACCTTAAGGATCATCTGGTCCCAACCCCTCCACCATGGGCGGGGACAGCTCCCACTATCCCACTTATCCAACCTGGCCTGGAACACTTCCAGACTTGGGGCATCCACAACCCTGTTCCAGTGCCTCACCACCCTCACAGCACAGAATTTCTTCCCAGCATCCAACCTAAATTTCCCCTCTTGCAATCTGTATCCATTACTCCTTGTCCCATCACTGCTGTTCCAGGAATACTGAGATTTCCACGAGGACAAAATCCACCCGAGTCTCGGCACTGCAACAGCTCTTGGGTCAAGGGTGGGATCTCCCCAAAAACGGTGTGAATAGCCCAAAAAGCCCCCTGAGACCCTGCATGGGGCACCCAGGGCACTCCTGGTGCTCACCCACCCACCCTCCAGCCTTTGGAAATGCCAACTCCAGCTCTCTGAGCCAGACACAAAGCAAGGAGAAAATGCTGATCCTTCACCAGGCACCTGCCTCCAACTGCTCTGCCCTGCCTGGGTGGGGAAAAACGAGGAGGGAGAGGTCCTGCCCCTCATCCCACCACTTCTGCAACATTTCAGGTGCTCGGGGCGTGTTTGTGTGTGGGGGGAATAAAAATAGAAATGCAAATGAAAGGCTGAGACAAGGCGTGAGACAACTCCAGTCAGGGAGTTAAACCTGGACATCCTTTGGCTCTGGAGAGCAGCACGAGCTGCCCTCTGCTCCCACAGCCCTTCTGACACAGATCTCCCTGGGTAAAGTCCTCTTCCCCAGGAAACACTTTGATAAGAATCCCAAGGAAATTCCACAGCCTATGGAACTCCTCGGCTCACACAATCGGGGCAGAACCTGCTCCCTGTGGTTGGGACAACCCCCCCCAAGGTCCCCAGCAGGGGCACCTGCTCAAGTCCAATCCCAGCACAGAATCCCAGACTGGTCTGGGTGGGGAGGGAGCTGAAATCTCACCCAGTGTCACCCCCTGCCATGGGCAGGGACA